AGTCGAAAGACCAGTTAATCTACCGACTCTGGCCTAACGAAGACTATTGTATCGTTAAAAATTATTTTTTTATTTTGTACAAAACAAAAAAAATTGAAAAATATAAAAACAATAAAAAATTATACTTCAGATGTTAATTTAGTATCAAAAACGTAAAATATTTGAGTAGCCCGAGAAATAGCCGAAGATTGCAGCGCCAAAGCACTAGCGAAAATTTAAATTTGCCGACTAGAATTCGTTCGGATAACGGACGTTTCGGATAACCAGCTTTCGGATAAACGACGCTCTACTGTAATTATTAAGAATATAATTATATACTTATTTTTTTTATTTTGTAATAAGAAAAAATATTTTCAACCTGTATGCTTTTGAATATATGCCTGTAATAAACAATGAAACAATAAGATAATATATTTTCGTAAATTCATGCAAATACAATATATCTAATACGAAATTAGGAAATGTCGAGCGATTTTTCCGCAGATTTTAATTTTACAACATATTGCAAATATTAGTACAAATCACTTTAATTATATTTCAATTGAATACAGTTAACCTACATTATTCAATACATTTAAATATATCGAATAAAGAAATACATTTAATCAATATTGTTACAAATCAATTTAATTATATTTGGAATCACAATATCTTCAAGTGTATTAATCATATTAAAATAATTGATATTATTAGACTTCATTGTTGTCGTTGTTTTGATTTTCACCCAAATTATCAATTCTGCATTTTTCCTTTCAATCCACTTTTTTCTTCTTACAGAGAAAATCAACTATTTTATCAATAAGATAATACAAAGGTGTTTCCACAAATAAATGCATGAGTAACGACGCTATCAAAGTTAGGATCATCACCATTAAGAACAACATCCACTAACAAAGAAAAAAATATGCATTAATTAAAAAATATACTTTGATATTCATTAAATAACATTCTGCGTACAAATTCTGTTATATTTACTATGCCCACTTGCCCTCCTGGCATACCTAATATCTTTTATCCTTAAATAATTAAATTTTATGATGTTATTTATGTTTTAAAAGCTTACATTTAAACATTGATCTAACGCTTTCTATATAATGCCAAAAATTACTTCTGTATTTTCAGTAATCTCTATGTTATATATTTATATCAGGTTACATCAAAGATAGGAAAGTCCCCCCATATTTCTTTAATCATCTAAGGACACATTTGCCTCATCCTTACTTTACCTTATATGAAGGAAGTTTAACGTGTAAGTTTTCTGGGCGTAGAAACTTTCTAAATTTTAGTCACTCGTGACAATATATATAAGCAAAATTTCCACACCACCTGAATAACTTTTGGGCATATTCAGTGTTGCCGTTCCTAGTACATTTGTACTTTTTCTGGTACATTTTGCCCTTTCCAGTAAATTGAAAGTACATTTAGATTTTTAGTACATTTTCAGTACATTATAATATTTCAAGTACCATTTACGGTACAAAATAATATTTCACGCCTTAACGAAAAAATGAGAAAAAATTAGTTTAATAAAGTCTCACTAGTGTCACTGCTTGCTAATTTAAATTATCCAATCACAACATACAAATGGTGTGTGTCCGTCGACGTCAGCAACATAGATAGTTGCACGTGTAAACGGTCTTGACTCAGTGGTCTTCTTTCACACGTTCAGTTGTCTGCACATTCTCATCAGGACCTTGACAAAATTTTTCATGCCACGTGGTCCAAACAATTCAACTCCGTCAAACAAAAATAATGGACAGGTAAGGAAATCAATGATTTTAAACTTTTGTCGTCAATAATATCAAAATATCCGTTAAGTCAGAAACAAATTATTACAGAAAATAGTTTTGAAATTGTACGAGTATAAATAATATAAATACTTTTATATTATTTTCTACCACTATAATTTAATTCTTAAATTATGAACTTCAATTTTAGTAATCCTAGTAAAAGAAAAAAGGGTTAATGTTACGTGTGGTTCCAAAATGGCCGCTCTTCCGAGTGTTCCAAGGTTTATATAAGAAGGTCAGGACACGCGTGATCTACTTCTTGAGCTGCCATTTTGGGGTTTTATTGAGTTGCATGTTTTAAGCAAACTTGTACGAGCAGTCAGTTTTATACGAACTTAATTAAACTAAAATTGCATAAATTATGTAATTTCCAGTCAAAAATATAATAATAATTTCGGATGATTATCCAACTCCAATTTTATGTAACGTTTTCATCAAATAGTTTAAAAGAAACAAGCATCCTTATCTTTTGCTGTCATGATTGAAATTAATTAAACAGGTACTAAAACTGATGCAATTATGTATAAATTTTTTTGATGTTATTGCATCACTTCGTAAAGCGATGAAATAACATCAAAAAAATTTAAAGTATAATAAAGAATAAAATAATATAACAAATTTATAATTATTTTTTTAAAGCACGATTGGTTATTAAAATTAAGGTAAAATTCAATAGTATTATTAATTAATGTTGTCAATGTAATGCTCATTTTATAATAAGTAATAGATGTGTAGATATATTATTAATTCTGAATAACTTTCAAAAAAATCCAAAAATAAGATTTAAATTTAAATTATTTGACAATAAACTATATATATATATTCCTAGAACTAGTACATTTTGAAGGAAAATAGTACATTTTTTGAAGGCGCTTCAGTACGTTTTGAAATTACATTGCGGCAACACTGGGCATATTTCTAATTTCCAAACATTCATTTTTTCTCACTTACTTATCAAATAATGTTAAATAAAACACAGGACTGTACAGAAAAAGAGTTTCTAAGAGGAATTAAACTTGTACAGTAACTTAAAAATATTGTAACGTTTACAACTATTTATTTCGCAATATACAAAGAAGCATTTTTCTGGAGAAGAATTTTTCTGTGACGAACTCCAAAAATTTTTGTATTATTCCAAACCAGAATTCACTCAAAATGTCAGAATAACGAAAAGCATCTACTATTGATTTTCCTTTTAAATACATTTGAGAAATGTGCCCGTATTACTTGAACCGATATCACATCATATCCATAAATCTCTATGAGCCTATCATGAATTTTACTTTTGATAAAGCAGGTGTATCATATAGAGAACGTATCATATACATGATTTCATCTCTTTCGTATTTGTTAGTACGGTAGAGATTCAATCCATTAGGGTATTAGTACTGTAGAGATTATCAAGCCATTTTTATTTCATTGGTAATGTAAACCAAATTTCTCATCTATCCAAAAGCGCCTTAACAAGAAGTCAATTTTCGTATTGGTTATTAATAAAATTTTACTATAATAATGGCTCTGTTAACTATAGCAAAGAAAAAACTATGGCAATCGGTCAAACAGAGAACCTCCATGATTTTCACATTTCTGGTCACGGGGACCTCGTTACATTGAGAAATATAAATCATTCAAGGGATTTTTCTGTATGTATTTATGTATGTGCAGAGGGCACCATTTTGATTACCCTTATTAAAAGCTTAATAACTTTTGTGCTATAAATCGAAATGTTTTAAAATTTTTACAGGGAGGTTTATTATTACGCTAGTCATGCTATTAAATGTCAGTGGTTTAAGGTAACGAGAGTGGGGAAATGAAGAGAGATTGTATATCCTATTTCGAGTAGGATCCCTCATCACGACAATTTCATGATTACTAGCATTTACAATTTATTATAAAACCCATCTTTATGTTCAAAATTATGTTTCTTGCCATTTTATAATAATTAAAAATATAGTTTTAGTAATAAAACACAATTAGATAAGTAGAGCGTCGTAGTTTTTTAAGTCATCCGGGAAAGTTAATTAACTCTTCACTGAATTTTTATTATTTATTTTTACTTGTTAAACTAATCTTACCAGAGTTATTGCTGATGCGTAAAGACCTTTTCGTAAATGACCATAGATATACATTAAAACTAGTAAATGAAGCATGTAGATCCAAATAATTAATTTATCCAAGATACAAAATATTCGCAATGAAAAAATTTGATTACAGATACCTGTAATGAAATCATGCTATTAATATTAAATAAGAAATCAATTTAGAAATAAAATACTTAAACCGTAACTAAATTTTATGTGAAATTGCTTCAAAATTCATTTACTTACCACCGTATCCCGTAATGCATGCAACAGAAATCCATGTCGTGGCCACAGTAAAAGCAAATGGCGATAACGTGTGATGTAAATACACTATACTGTCGTTTGGTGACGTTTCTCTTTTATAACCGTGCAATCCAAATATTGCCAGCATTATCAATATAATAGTACCGATCCAAAATACTAAAAGGGTTTTCTGTAATATCATTCAAAACTGTTTTCAACGATCAAATTTTACTATTACGACAAAAATAGAACAATTTAAGACTTCTTTATACGGCTACGTGATTATACAGGTAGGAGAGATACATTCTAGCTTAAAGGGGATAAAGTCCAGGACCACTCGTAGGTATTGCCTGGTTTGAAATGGATTGAGAGGAAAAGAGTTAAATTAAGAGAAGAGGCAAAGGTGAAACGTAAAGTGAGATAAGAAAAGGGATGAGAGTGGAAGTTTAATAGGCGTCAGTATCGGTGTTTTATTTAACAGAATACAAAATTGTTACATAAGTAAAAGGCACATTAACAGTATGACAAGATGCCCATACAGAGGGCGTTACATAAGAAAACCGCAAACGGTGCAACAAGAGATATTATACAGCAGCACCCTTTTGGGTGCAAAGCGGAGGATTTAAGTTGGAGTTACAAGTATAAAACTGAAAATGACCTGAAACTAATCCCAACAATGAGATATTACATTCAATTGTGAATAAAGGGGATGTAGGATTTAAGATCACGGCAGCACGTTCTTTGCTGTTACAAAGTATAATAATAGAACAATCTATATACAGTAGACCCCTATAAAACGGGTTCCTATAAGACAGCGAAAAAATTGCGACGGTATCCGTAAAAAACGGTAAAAAACTTTTATAATTATGTAAAACGTCATCGGGCAGCCGAACTATTTTCTGCCTTCCAGCGCCACGCTACGGAGAGATTACTATCGTCTGTACAGTATTATATATAAATTATTTATAAATTAGGTACTTTTCATATAATTATATATTAATTATATATAAATTAGGTACTGTATATATAATTATATATTAACTTAATTTATTGTAACTTTATTATTATTATATATATGCTTTCCGCCGTCTAGCGCCACGCTACGGAGAGTTTAGGTGAACTATCCTTTGTACAGTATGTAAATTAGGTACCGTAAGTCTAATATAGCACTGTAATTTTACACATTTCTTGTGAAAGAAACATTTCTTATTCAACGGCGATTAAAATTATTTATATTAATGATGTCTCCAAAGTTCACCGAAGTTTTCGCAGAAAAATAACATCAGAAATCGCGGCTGCAGTTTGCTGAGCTGTTCCGCGACGAAAACAAGCTTCAGCAACGGCGATGTCGAATGGTGCACACTCGGTAAGTAATCCAACAATTTTTTGTTTGTAGATTAGTTTATACGGATTATTTCCAAAAAAATATACGTATTTTGGAAATGTTGAGACTAATTAGTCTAGAATCGATTAATTTTATGAAAGAAAACCTTTCAAACAGCTGTAGTCCGTAAAATTTACACGTGTCGGGCTGTGATTGTCAAGGACTCCTAAGAAATCGGATTCCTAAAGAATGGAACGTATCTACCATCGTATAGGGGGATTGACTGTACACTATTTACAAGAAGACAAAGGCACCAATTTTAGGTTTAATGCCTTGACAAACAATTACTCAAAGGAGGCGCGTACAAAATTTTAATTAATATTATTACGCACGTCTAGAGTACCAGTTTCTTTTATAAATGAATACAGTTCTCTGAAGATGTTTTTGTTCTATACAAGAGCACTGGAAGCACATGGCCAATTACAGCCTTCTAGGAGAACAGTTTGGTATAACTTGGCTCGTTACTGGTGATAGAGGCGAAGTCGAAGGTTAGGTGGAAAGTGTCCTTTTGTGAGGATCAATCACAGTTGCAAGTGGAGGTGTTGCTATGGTGAAATCGTTGGAGTTAAGAGAGAAAGTTCCCGTGAGCGGTGAATAACCAACTTACAATAAAGTCCACTGTAAAATGTTCGCTCTTAAGCCTAAGTGGGATGTTAGGAATTAGCTTGTTGGTGATTCGTCCTGTGTCTCTTCCTCCCAAAGTTTCTGCCATATATTAATAGTTGTTTGTTGGATAAGCGTTTTTATCGAAACGATTGGAATGTCACGAAAACATAGTTCTGAAGAGCTGTTAGCTGCCTCTTTCGCCCCTTTGTCCGCTTCTTCATTACCCTGTATTCCAGTATGGGCACGTAACCATTAAAAAGCAACAGTATTTTTATTATTTGCTAGTTCTTCTGAGATTTGGCGAAGTAAGCTGTTTTTATTTTTATTGTTTGAATTACTAAGAAGAGCAGCTCTACTATCTGAGCAGATGCTTACATGAGTATTGTTGATTTTGACGTTGCTATTAACATATTGTAAAGCCTTCAGGATTGCCAAAAGTTCAGCTTCCATGATTGAGCAATGGGTTGCCAGCCGGTAAGTTTCCTTATGATTTTGTCTGTTCCTGTTATTTTTATAGTGAATGAAAGCTGCCTCTACACCTTTGTTAAATTTTGAACCGTCCGTAAATATTGTATGAGGGAATTCAGTATCTTCGTTATTCGAGTAAACAATTTTAATTTCTTTCGCCGGATGAAGACGAGGTGGGGAAATATTCCAAATGTTTGTATTCAGGTTCAGCTGGAAAAGATTGTTGATGTTCAAGTTAGGAAGGCTACTAATATCTAAATAAGTGTACAGATCCTTTTTCTTTTGAACTGGATGTCGAGGTTTGTTAGCCTCCAGAGTGCCCAATTAGTTTTAGCTTTTAAATATAGCAATGGGAGACCCACAAGAACCTGGAGTGCAGCTGTAGATGTTGTCTTGTACTCTCCTGTTATATGTAAAAGACTAATCCTTTGTATTTTTTGCAGTGCCCTTTTTATATGAGTCTTTGTAGAGACATTTCCCCATATGTGGGATCCATACAGTATTGTCGGTTCTATGGCTTAATTGTAAATGTTGGCCAAGGTAGTGCTATTCAAGCCTCACTTTTTCCCCTACGTAACAAAGGAGGTAAGATAATTTTGTTGCCTTCATACAAATGTAATCAATGTGGGAATTCCACTTCATGCGCTGGTCCAGGATAAGTCCAAGATATTTCATTTCCTTTGTGTATGGTATTCTAGAATTATTTATTTTTAATGATGGCGGTTTCTGAAGCTGTTTACCTTTGGTCATGAGCATGCAACTTGACTTACTGATGTTTATTTCGAGCTTATTGTTTATGCTCCAGTTGTTTACTTTTTTTAGTAACTTATTAGCTTCAGTTTGCATTTTCTCGCTATTCCTATGTGCCATCATAATCAGAGTGTCGTCAGCGTATGCTTGTAACGACCATTGTGCATTTATATTATTAGGCTTGATGTTCAGAAGGCTATCGTGCATGATGTTCCATAATCCTGGACTAGAACGAAATCTTTGGGGGCAGCCTCTTGTCATGGGTTGTATAAGTGGACTATCCATGTCGTATACACCAACCACGTACGATTATTAAGGTAATCCTTCATTAATAGATATAAATTTTTTGGGCACTGGAATGATTTAAGCTATCGAAGTAATGCTGGCCACCAAAGCTGTTAAAGGCATTATGATAATCAATAGAAGTAAGGAGGACATGATGTGATTTTTTCCAGGCATCACGAATAAATCAAGTGACACTGTGTAAGGCATAATTAGTAGATTTTTTGGGAACAAACCCATACCGTTTTGGGTGTAGTAGTTGTTTACTGTATAAGTGAAAGCTGATTCTTCCTATAACAAGTCCATTCAAGACTTTCCCCAATGTGGGTAGTAAGCTTATTGGTCTAAAGTCATTGGCATTGCTATGGCTGGTTTTGCTTGTCATTGGAATAAAACAGATGCGTGAGAATTGAGAGAGCTCCATACACTTATTGTATGTATAAATGAAAGCGATCGGTACAGCATTAAAAGCCTGCTTCACCATTTTAGCTGTTATTGTATCTATTCCTGGAGTTTTTTTGTTTCTCATAGTCCTTATTGCTGTCTCAACTTCTTTAAAAGTAAAAAGGGGATCGTTGTTTGTTGCTGGCGGAGCTTCAATTGAGTTTCTGATGCTTTCCTGTTCTTCATTGCCATTTTCTTTGTCGTCTTTTGGAAAATGAAAGTTGAGAAAATGATGATAGGTTTTTCTTATGTTCGTTGTTCATGTTCCGTCTTCTTTGTCTATGTATGCTGGAAGTATGATATTTTTCCTTGGTTTTAAAATTATATGGTACGGTCGCTCCATGTCGATCCATTGTCGATTTCAGTGCAGTAATTCCTCCACGCTATCATTCGGGCTTTATTTATGCTAATTTTGCATTTGCTAAATTCCCGTAAGTATTCCTTCTTTTTTGTCTCTTTAATTATAAAATCATTTTCTTTTTGGTATCTTTTGTATAACCCGCGAACCTTCTTCCTTTGCTCACTCAAAGAATTATTCCACCATGGGGTGTTTGACCGTTTTGATTCTATAATTGTGGTGGATTGATGGTAAGAGGTGATGATTGATGTGGTAAAGTGGGCAGCTAACGTGTTAATGTATTCAATTTCGTGGAGATCTTGTGCTTGTTTTTGTGCCCAATGAATCTTGAAAAGTTCCTGGTACTGTGTCCAATTAGTAATTTTCTTGAGGTTGTATTCTTTTAATGACAGATCAGTATTAATTAACGATGGTTGTTTTGATGTATCTATGGTCACTTCCTCCGATTTCGTCAATTGTATAGCAGGAATTAATAAGGTTATGGGCATGTTTATCAGCAATCACTATGTCTACCCAAATCCTATTTCTGGTACAGCAGTAAGTCGCCAAGGGACTTGTAATACAAGATATCATGTAATTAATTGACAGAAATTCGCAGACATTATAACCTCTTCCGTCCTCTTCAGGACTGTGCCAAGTCGGCGATTTGGCATTGAAGTCACTTGTTATAATCGAAGGTTTACTTCCGATCTTGTTATTAATTTCTTGTAGGTTATCTAGAAGAGGTGCCATACACTCAAATGGTGAGCAGTATACAGATGATATGTATAAGTCTTTTTTATTTAAAGTGAGCAGTACTGTAGTAGTATAGTATATTTTGAGCTGAGATCAGAGCAGAAGTTAGCCGGAATATTTTTGTTTTTTATGAGAATGCCAGATTTGATTGTTTCAGTGAAGT